TGCTCCACAAGGGCAAGAGCAAAAGTGTTGCAAGAACTGCATAAACACACAAAGAAAACCAAGGACACCTACCAGCAGCCACCAGAGAACTGAGTATAACCAATTGCTATGTTGTACAGTCAGGTTCACCAATAAGATATATAAACTGCAACATCAAAGCTGCAACATCGAAGTCAAAAAGGCAGTTACACATGTACTATTTGCATTAAGATTGCATTCAACTATTTGCATTAAGATTTGCCAGCGACAGTCACGGAGGTGATTAAAGCAGGGCTAGAAACGAGTTTCATAACCAGCAGGGTCATAGCAGAGCAGCACAGGTGCAAAGTGGAATGAAGACAATTTCCTGGCCATTCTGTACAAGTGACAGGAAAGGCCTCTCTCTCTGGACTGCCTTACTCGATGGCTGAGATAGATATCAAGGGCTCACAGGCGCTCTTGTCTGCTTGCTCCCTGGAGAGAAGGGATAACACACTATTTATCTGTCCTCTCTAATGAGGGTGTGAGAACAAACAAGCAAATAGATGCTACGGTATCCTCCAGCCCCATCCAATGCATCCCTCCAGCGGGGTCATGGGCTACAATAGAGACAAGTGTCATTACAAACCCGCACACACATACCACTGAAGCACAGATGCAAAATCTGTTAGGTTTGAAGGATCTCAGGCCTCGTGCTCAATTTACTCAACTCTCAGCTGAAGTCACTGGGAGCTCAGGGTGTTCCACACCACCCAAAAGTAAGCCACGATTAAATCATCCTCACTACACCCGAGTGGCAGGCCAGCGTTCCCCACCACAGTGAACATAGAAGAGATCGGGGAAGACAGCAAATGCTTTGCCCCACACCTCAGAGCAAGCCAATGTCCATGCTGGGATTAGAAGTTGGCTATTTCCTGAACAAAGCTGCTCAAGGACTGCAGGATTTCCTCAAGCAGGTAATTAATATCTTAATATAGGTCGCTCTGGAGTGATGCGCATTAGGGGCTGTGTCCTGATGTCACCTCTGTGCATGATCCTCCATTCGTGTCAGGAGGGAAACTTGGTGCTCCGATCCACAGCTAACTACTGCTGTCAGCATTTCATGCTGCAGACCGGCACCCAGGCTCAAATCCTCCTCTGGTGTAATCCCACCGAATGACCTCTGTGGGGTGACCCCAAGGGTGGATTTGGTGCAAGCTACATTGTTCTTTTGGGCCCGATGATCTTGCTGATCTGGGGTAAAAGGCATCATCCCATAGATGGCCTACACACTGTGTATGCACTAGTCAATCCTCTTTGGACTCTCACGCTTGTCTCTGCAGAGAGATGATTGGCATCATGCAACACACGTATGCCTCCCCCAAAATGGCCTCGCTTTAATTTGCTGGACAAAAGGCAAAACGATCCCCTTCTGCCCCATGCATTGATTTTACTTCCAAAGCAATTTCCATGCAGCTAGATTCAAGATAATTCCTACTTACTAAACAAACCCAGAGAGACAATGCATACAAGCTCTTTTCGGTGGTACTCACACGCAAGCATTTCCCACTTGAGGCTGCAAAGGAAAAAGAAATAGCACAAGATAGCATACACCGCGTTGTAATAAAGACTGAAAAAAAAACCCCAAACAAAAAGCATTGCAGCAAACAAGACGAGAGCTAAAACAACCCCCAGAATCTCATGTTGGGAAGGGACCATCGCAGACTTGTTATGAGAACCGGTGATATGATACAAGCCAGGCAAACTGCACCCTGAAGCATCAATAAAGCTGAGCTAGTCATTCAGCTTACTGGCTGCACGTTCATTTATATGGCTGTGTCCAATTCAGCATCATCCCTCATAATAGGCAGTGTTCTTATTAATGGCGGAGCAAAAAGAAGTGATTTTTACAAAGCTAAGTTTAAAAAAAAAAAAGACTATTTTAGGTTTTAAACGATTGCATTAGGATGGAACCCAAACTCACACAAGTGAGGAGTGATCCTGAGCATCTCCATTTATGGGCCACCCTACTTAGGCACCATAAAGGGGCTGACTTTCAAAAGGAGCCTGGTATTCAAAAGGGCATGGTCTGAAGGGTCTTAAGTTGGATGTCCAATATTAGCTGTCACTTCCAAAGAGTTGGGGATGTGTTTTACTGCAAGCACCTTAGAATTACTGAACCCACGTTGGACTTTGGGTTCATCAGAAATTACTTCATTTTGTTGCTTGGCAGGTAACAGAGCAAGGCCAGCCTGAAAACTGCAATGCGCTGGCGAATCAGGACCAAAGCTTTTAAAGCTGTCACGCTCCAGTCGTTAAGCCAGCTGAAGTGCAAACACAGGGGATGCTACTTGAACAACAAAAATAGGTTATATTTCATTTTTGGCTACTCCCAAAAGTATTTGTTGGCTCTTGTGTACTACAGCAGCACCGGGTTATAAAGCCACCACTGGAAACAAGACGGAGGGAATGTTTAAAGAGGTTTTTATTGAAAAAAACCTGTCTTTAACATTGAAAAAAAACCACATTCTTTTGTTTTGTTTTTTTGACTAGCTCATATGCTAGCAGGGGGAAAAAAGGTGATCCCAGGCAGGTCTATTAAATACTTAAGCAACTGAGAATTGTAATTGTGACTTGCCCTGCTGTCCTAGGAAAAGGTGGAATCCTGTCACTGATCGGAGCCCTGTGTCTTGCATCAGATAAACAAGCAGCAAATAATGGGGAGGAATCAGACTTCACTTTCTCCCTCTCTCACCTTCCTACTTAAGCCAGTGTCGTTCCCAAGAGAACTGCAGCAATCAGTGCCAGAGATCAGTCCAGCAGCACACTGGAAATAATTGCTTCACTAAAGATGGCAGGCCTTGGAGAGAGGAGCAAAATGCAACATAGGTGCAGCTGCAGCAAGAGCCTGGTTCTGAAAAGACCCTCACACTGGCTCACCAATCTGTCTTAAGCTTGACTTTACAGGTCAGAGGACAGTTCGACTCTCAGCCTCTTCCATGCTTGGTCTCTCCCCTGGGGCTCCCAACAAGTGAAGCAGTTATAGCCAATTCTGCACTGGATTTCTTTGTGTCACTGGGAAACTGGACTAAGAATCATCATCTCTCTCCCCCAGCTTGTTCCTCAAGGAACTGGGGACAAAGAGAAATAAAAAAGCAAATGGGGCTCCACACGCACACAGCAAGGAGTGAGTCAGGCCTACATTTTAACAAAGCAAGTAGGAAATAAAATGGTAGGGTTTGAACATGAGACACTTTAGAAGTTGGACAACTAGACATCGAGGCACCCAAAAATCTATGGCTGCTTTTGCAAATTTTGGCTTTCGTGTACAGAGATGGTAAAAGGAGGACAGAATGATCAAGTGGCTCGAACCACCCTCTGATCACAGCTCGAACCAAGAGCCTGCAGAACAAAAAGGGCAGGAGCAGCAGAGTGAAGAGGCATGGCTACTCCTCATCACGATCGAGCCTGCAAAGATGCTGCTAATCAAATCGCACTGGGATGAGAGGACCATTTAGCTGCGTATGCCTTACAGCATTTGGACTTGTAAACAGGCCACTACTCTTACCAATCTACCCATCCTGCTGAGGAGTGCCCTAGTTTAAATTAACCAACCGGAAAAAATCAGCATTATGCAAGGAGAGTCACCCTGCCGGCAGCATGCAACTGTAATGCTTCTGGATGACAGTTCCACTCCAAGATGGTGTTAATAGGTTTGTCATCTTAAGTTATTCTCAAGATTGGATGGTGATGGAAGGTACACATGCTAAGTGGCTACTTTTGCACTTCAAATGGAATCACTGGAAATGATCAGTGACTGTTTGATCATTAGTTGTGTGCGCGACTGTGTGAAGGGATAACAGAGATGAGTTACCACTTGAACACTAACTTGTAGCTTCCGATGGCGACTCCCATCCTGAGCCTCTGGGAATACGAGAGACTCCAGCGGGCTGAGGGGCCTGCTCCCAACACTGTAATTTCGTGGGCGCTTTATTGTGTCCGCACTGGCCAGAGGTGTAAAGCTGTTTCTTCTCATCCTTAAGGGGGTTTGGTTCTTTGAAGGGTTGGTCTGATTAAAAATGGAGGATATCACAAGGAATGAAAAGCAAAACTACAATCTGAAATCAAAGTCATGCCAACACATTTCGGTGACACCGCCAACACCCTGACGCTACTGTAACCACCAGCTGAATCCTGCCTCGGCTCTGTGTGCAGACCTCCTATTCAAATCAGTAGGAGCCTGACTCACAAAGTCCAGGGATGTCCACGGAAAGATGTGCCTCTGCAAAGGACCAGGACAAGGCCTGTGCACCATGCAAGTTCCCCAGAGGCTGCACCTGAAGAGCTTACACACACAGCGGACACGTTGGGTCTCTGGGAAAATTTAAACTACAGAGTGAGGGCAGGATTGGGCCCACTGATGGTAAAATAAATAAATAAATAAATAAATAATCTACCTAGCACCTTCTCAAAGGCGGTTAGAAGTGCTAAGCCAAATACTAGCCATTCCCTTTATCCTCAGTCCACTGAACATGGAACAGCTGAGAGACTGCTGCAGTCAAGAAAATGCTGAAACAGTCTAGTGACAAGCACAGTTGCAAAAGTTTTATTTCCCTTTCCCCTCTGCAGTGAAGATTTTGTTTATACAGTTCAGATGAAATCATGCATTAAATATAATCAATTTTCCCAATTACTTAGATTTATCTTCAAGCAGCTCCATATTGCCAGAGGAAGCAGAGAAGAGACAACTGCTAACTCTTCCCTGCAGACAGCTGAGTATCATGTAACAATGGAGTAAAAGTACTAGCCACGCGAGTCTGAATTACAAACACCAAAACTACATTAGCCACAGAAAGTTTTGCTGCTCATCCTACTCTCAGAGTCTCTACTCAGTTCAGTGAAGCTTTACCCTTGTAAGTCACCATCGAAAGCATGCCCCAATGCACACCTGCTTAGTACTTTCCGTAATGGAGCTAAACAAAAGAAATTTAGATGACAGCAAGAGTCAAAATAAATATGAATGAATGACAGACAGTCTCTTTTATACTCACCTTCAAAGAACTTGACTAAACAGAGGGGCAAAAGCCCAAGTTGTCAAACATGGGTCTATATTTAATAGATGCATTACAGAGACCCTGGTCTAGCTACGCAGAATTTGGTATGGGGCCTCCAATTCTGAGCCTTTCCTTTTTGAGTGTTGGGCTTTAAATGCAGTCTCTGTATATTTACTGATGGTGAATACCTAACAGTCTTTACTGCAGGTCATGGTAGCGTCAAATGATTGGCACCTCTGAAAAAGCTAGGTTCTGCATGCATGTACAAGGGAGAACTCCAAAACTAAAGCCACTTGTGAAATTGAAGCTACGTAGGCCAAGGGATTAAGCGCTTTGCTGAACAGGGTTTCCTGATGAATCTAGGTGTAAGGGACTATGGAGACAAAATCTGACAAAGCTACCGCTGCGTCTCTAAGTCCACAGTCCATCCATCACTATCGTCAAAACCTTCACGCTGCAATGGAAGTAAATGTGGCGCTCGTGCTTAGAATATCTTCTGCTCCCTGATAAGTGACTGCTTTTGATTTGTAACATTTTCTGTAATGCAGGTTTGGGGTTTTTATGTTTTGTTTTTTAAAGCTTGTCACACAAGTCACAGGCAGACATTTCCAGACAAGACTTACTGTACTCACAGAAGGTTTGTCTCGGTGGGTGTTGACTGCTTCGACATTCAGGTTGATCATTTCTACTTTGCAACCTTCACCCAAAGAAAAGAGAAAACATTTTAGGAGAAACTACAGCCGATCTTAATATAAATTATTTTTAAACTTCTGCTGAACTGCAAAAAATTGTTTTCAAAAGACAGGGAACAGTTCATTGCCTTTTTTTGTGAAGAACTCATGCATTTGTCTTACTTCAAATGCAATATCAATCACGGTTTCTACATATGTATCGTACTAAATAATTCCTTGTGGTTTGGGCTGTAAAAACGAGGCTAATAAACAATGGCAACTCCCCACAAAGGTATGCACTACATGGAATATACTAATTGATATGATTTCTGTTCATGTTTGGAGGACAAACTCAGCTTCCATGGAAATATCCATATCCAAGGTGCCTCTATCTAGAAGACACTAGCCCTTAATCACAGGAGTAGCCTTTTTTGCATGTGTGAATTAAAGATTGCAGTTTGGGGCCTCTTAGTTTAGTACCCTTAATACCATGAGATGTCTAACTTGGCTGACTAACTGGAAGTAGCTTTGTATCTGCACCTTGCTACCTGAACATGGTAGGCAATTTCTGTAAGTCAGAAACGGGAAAATATTCACCATATGCAACCGGCGTGAGTTTGAATACAGTATGAAGCGGGCATCTCAGGTACGGCAGCTCATCTAGGACCAAACAAAGCGTTAAACACTGCACGTGGGGGCTGCTTAGAGCTTTGCATGTTGACTGAGTGTTGACACACACTGGAGATATTCAAAACTGTACATAAGCTGAAACCCAGTATGCAATTTAAGTACATTAAGAACATGCAAAGGCTTATGCAACCTCATACATTCACGTATCACTGTGTTGCAACTGCATAATGATGTTAAGGTTTTAACTAAATTTCCAAGAAGCCTACAAGGCGAGAACAAAAGAACTAAGCTGCTAATATACTGCTAAGCCTTGTTAGTGGGAAACATGTTAAACGTGTCAGATGGGAGGGAAGTTAATTCATGGACCGGTGGGCAGACGGCCTAGAAAAGCCGCAGTCCCTACAGAGCCAGGTGCATAGTGAAAAAAAGAAAAAAGGGAGGTGGGGGATTCCCTAACTAGGAACAAAATCCTTCTCAAAGTCTAACTGACAACATCCAGGGACCCACAAGGAACTGCTCTGGACTGCTTTGCAGAGCTCCCAGAACAAAGAAGTCTATTGAAGCTTTCAGGCTTTTGACTACACAATAAAAGATCCTCAAACTCTCACTGGGGAGGAGACTCTCTAGAAATATATTTCAACTCTGACACCAGTGAGCCGTGACCGCAGGTGGTAAGACGGGCAAGACCTGTTGTCAAGGGCTTATGAGCAGGGTTTGAATTACACTTTGAATCTTGCGGGGAGGGCTGTAAAAAAAAGTTGGGCTGCCCATCACGATGCCCTAATGAAATTGGAGACCCCTGGTTATGACTTAAATAAGGGGGGCTCTTGTCTCTTATGAGGGGGCTCAGCCCCTCTGAGCTCCGCTGTAATCTGAACCCTGATTCTAAGTTATATTTCCTTATATGCCTCTTTCGGCTGATGTGCTGAATTATTACTAGTACACCAACAGCATCTGAAGAGTCCCTTAGTCTGATCCATATCATTTGGCCAGGAAGCCAACCAAAGAGGGTGACTCTTGGTTAACTGGACATTGATCTATTAACACCAACAAGCGACATACAGGGATGGTGTAAGTCCACTTTGGCCCAGACACTGCAATAACTTACATGCAGGCTTAATTCTAAGCACGCGACTCATTCAATGGAGTTTAAAAGGAGGGGTTGCATGCTCAAGGAGTGTGCAGGGTTAAGACGCTCGTCTTCAGAAAAAAACAGATACACAGTGTAATTGTTTAGTATCGTGTCTGGTATGCCCTGATCGCCCGTGCAGCCCACTCCTGCAGACTCGACAGAACCTGGAGAATCACCCGTGTATTTCCCTCCTGCCCCGATTCTTTGCAATTCCTGAGCCATCGACTTACATCTCCAACTGTTCAATCAAGGCATGTTGCTGCCTCTACCCAGTCCGCCAAGGGACCGTCAATGAGAGTGGTCCTTGTTCCTCCCACCAGAGGCTGTATTTATGTGCCTTCTCCTGCCTTAGCCCCCCGACAGCTTTGGGACTCACAGAACAGGAGCAGAACCCTAGGCTGAAATCCTGGCCGGGCTGAAGTCAATGGATGTTTGTTTCACGAACTTCAGCAGGATCCTGGCTGTGGCCAGCAGCCCTGCTTCAGTGCACGCACTCTGAATTAAAGGAGGTATTTTCTTCTTTTTCCTCAACTGCCACCCAGTGGTAACAACTCTAAACAGCAGAACTACAGACAATGCTGAAAACTGATGCCAAGAGCTTCTCCTAGTCATGAAACTAAGTGGAGGGTCTCAGAAAGGTTTTGCCATCTGCTTGGCACAGTCCACAATGCTTCTCTCTAATGTCCTCAACCCAAATTCCCCTTCCACAAGCCATTTAACCCCTCTGCTGTCCAACAAGTCAGTTGGGTAACGTTGTCCCTTTCTGTGGGGACATCAGCTGTGTCTGATCACCTTGCCCTCATTAATGGATTTAATCTTTGCACTGATCCCTTTGGGTGGAGGTGGGGAAAGGATCATCCGCAGCTGGCAAATGATAAAATGACTTCCTAATACCACAGAAGGAGCCTGTGGCAGAAGACCAAACCTAAATCACTTCAAATGATCAGAGGGCAGGAGAACAGGCCTTATGATGAGAGGCTGAGAGCCATGGGACTCTTCAACCTGGAAAAGCGCAGGCTCAGGGGGGACCTGGTGGCTGCCTATAAGTATATAAGGAGCGTACATCAGGATTTGGGGGAACATCTGTTCACCAGAGCGCCCCAAGGGATGACAAGGTCAAACGGTCACAGACTCCTGCAAGACCGTTTCAGGCTGGATATAAGGAAAAATTTCTTACTGCCAAGCCCTCAAGGCCTGGAACAGACTGCCGCTGGAGGTGGTGCAAGCACCTACTCTGGACTCCTTTAAGAGTCCACTGGACGTTCATCTTGCTGGGATCCTGTGACCCCAGCTGATTTACTGCCCCTGGGGCGAGGGGCTGGACTCGATGATCTTCCGAGGTCCCTTCCAGCCCTGATGTCTATGAAATGCCAGACAAAAGCCGTATGCAAGACACTGCCTATCCTACCTGTCCGCTAGAAGTGCCTGCATTTCAGTGACCCTGCAAGGAGTAGCTTGCATAGCACTTCAAGATGCCCTCGGCTAAAGAGAGAAAATGCAGGATTACTTGAAAACTTCTCTCAGAAGCCACTGAAAAAACTAACTAGATAAAAAAGCAATACTGATCAGCTCTGCGATATAACCAGTCGCATGCTCGCACCCCAACTCAGCGTATTCATTTTCATACCTGCGTTCTTGTCAAGGAAGTAAGCCAACAGGCACCTCATAACAGCCTGGTGAGCGATAACTAAGACACTGCCTTGGCGTTCTAGCTCCATGATCACAGGCTCTAGGCGCTGTACCAAGTCTTGATAAGACTAGAAAACAAAGAAAGGTTTCAGTACAGTACAGATGCTTAAAGGTTAGCAGTCTGTTGCCTTAACTCAGTCTGGAATGCTACCATGGACATCAATTGCCCCAAAACATTTCGCCTCAGTTCTTCCTCCTTTACCAAATGCACACACTCGGCTACAGCTGCTTAATTAGCAATTATTATCTTAAATCTTCTTCACCTCTCCTCCGGGATAGCGATAAAGATATTTCTCTTGATCTCTCAGAGCAAACTCATCAGGGTACTTATTTTCAATTTCTTCATAAGTCATTTCTTCACATACCCCCTGGTGGAAGAGGAACTTGTTAAAACAGAACTTGTTGCAAAAGGTTTAGACATTGCACCAGCAACAAAAAGTAAATGACTGAGCACACGTTTCTGTGCTTATGTGACAGTAGTATCAAGATTCAAAACTCACTCATACTGTTGTCATTTAAACACAGAGCACTTTCATCTGAGAACCTCCGCATGCTTACACCTGCTCATGCTCCTACTAAGTAGATAAGCATGAACATCTTTGCTGGACAGATGTAACACAACTTCCTCAAAACGATTACACCTTCTTCTCACGGTGAGTTTTAGGCCACTGTATTTATGCTCCTTGGTAGTGGGTTGGGTCTTATTTTTTAAATATGTGCAGATAATGAAAAAGGAGTTATTTCTACTCATTTCTGCTCATGAAAGAATTACCACTGACTTGATAACATTTGCCACTACTGTGGGTAGCTGCAGACACCTGGGACCTTGAACGGTAACATTTTCCCTGTATGGGAAAAAAACCTGTAGATGTTGCTAATTCTACACCAAACCATTTTATACCTTGCAGGAGTGAAAAGTCCAGCATATGTCTGCCTAGACAGTGCTGCAAAGCTTAATTACTGCTCAGAAAGTGCTTAGACATTTTTGCAAGCTGAGAGACAAGGCTGATCATTTCACATTCATTATAAATGGTTTTTATTTACAAACCTCCAAAGGGCCAGCGCATAGTTGAAGAGCATCCCCCCCATCCTACTCACAGCATCAATCTCATTCAAAATCTTCCACTGTTCATAGGGGACCCCCAAGGACTCAGCTGTCTGGATAGTTCTCTTCAGCTGGCTTGTCCACACCTTCAAATCCACAATCTCCTGCTCCTTGATAAATTTTTTCAGGGTTTGAGCAAACTAGGAGAAATTAATGCAAGTTGGAAGATGATAAAATTTACTGCTTTATGAAGGAACGTGTGCGTTTCAAAACAGAGCTGCAGTGAGAGACACAACCCAGAGCTAACAAATGTCATACTGGGTATAGAGTTCCCAGCAGAGGGAAAAAAAGTCTTCACTGAACGAACTGCCCTTCTTAAAAAGACGCAGGGGAGTAACAGCTGAAAGTGTACATAAGGACTTCAACCCGCCCCAGGAAGAAGTCAGATACACCCAGGATTCAGGGTACAGAGAGACAATTCTTTAATTGGCTTACACGGGGAAAACTCCACTGAAGTCCATACAACTGCATTCGTTTACATTGGTAGAGAACCTTGGCCAAAGGCAGAGTCCTATCGTGCTAAATGGATACTTTAATAAAGAGTATGACAATCCTGACATTGTGAGGAACATACCTGTTTGCCACGGGATGACAAGCCAGAATCCCCACCAATCTTGCCAACAAGGTTGTGCTCGCTCTCGCCATGTCGGCACAGGTAGATGGTACGGGGCTGGACGTGAATGTTCATAAGGTAGTAGACAATTTTACTCTGGATGTAATCCTTGACCCGGTTTACCAGGAATCGCTGCCCCACGTTGATCACTTTAATGAAGGAAAGGTCTCTACAGCCAGCACAGAACAAGAACGCACAACTCAGCATCTTTAAACCTAAATACATGTTAAGGGTGAGGGGTGTATACACACACACGTATGTGCTCTAGCTATCCATTCTGCCGCACTGATATTGTGCTACCCCTTGATGCTCAGGTATCTCCATGCCTTAGAAAATACTTAGGGAGAAAGCACAATGTGATGTTACAGTATGAAGCTGTATTACATTCTACTTTGTAAGAGAAAAATACTTTCAAGTCATTTGGGACTTGATTGTATGCTCCTAGCACAAGAAAGGCTGACTTTATAATACAATCACTGGGCATGAGAGTTATGTCAGAGTAGAGAGAAGACCCTTTGAATGACAGGAGATTAAAATCAGGCAACAAAAGTGACACAAACCAGCGTATCAGTCTCCACCCAGCGTGCAGGACAATACAGTCTCAAATGCAGCCTCTTACTTGTCATAATCATCTGGATCAAGAAGCTGGTATGTGACTTTATAGCACTCTATCCTCTTCAGGAAGTCATCCATCACGTTCTCTCTGTTTCTCTCTGGGTAGTCAGGACTTGAGACCTTCACTTCCTGAACAAGAGAGACACTTTGTAAAAGTGAAGCTTACTTTCCTTCAAAATAGAAACACGACTGAGTGACATGATTCTTTTACAGTCAAACAAACAGTGTTTGAATTTCTCCTTCTCCATCCCCATGTGCCCTGTGAAGAGCCTGCCCCTGGCAAGGAAACAAAGGGCAATTCTCAATGACCTGTTGTAGCATTCGGCCTGGGGACAGACACAGCTGGTGTCCCTTTTGCCGTTCCAGGCAAACTATTTAGAGCATATCTGCCCATGAAAATAAAATCATCCTCCAAGGTCAAACGCTTCATGGCTTTGGTTTGGTTCCCAAGTTCCAACAGAAGTAATCCATCTGCTTTTGCTTTCTGTACCACTACAAATAGCAAGCGCTTATCTCAGGGATGAAACAAGAACGAGACTATCAGAATGCGCCACAGCATTGCAAATAGCCACTCCACCCCCTGTACTTTATACAAGGCTACAACAGCGTCACGCTATGAGCTGCAAAATTACATTTATTGCAAGCAGTTTAGTTTCTACCTTTGCTGGGCTATTAAGATACCACATAAATTAGACTCGGTTATCTTAGCATAAAAATGCTCTGAAGTGGTGTGGGTTTAACCCCAGAAGGCCCCTCAGCAGGGGAAAGAAAGGAAATAAAAGGAGATCAGAATGAAAGTTAAAACCCTGATCCCGGTCTGCTGTATGCCAGTGTACATGTAGAGCCCCTCAACAGACTCCAGCTGGATAACTTTGGATCGACAATTATATAACAGAGATCAACACCAGCCCAGGCACAAGATCCAGTTACAGCACCGTCAGCATGACCTTGCACAATCTCCTGCTAACACTTAGTTAAAATGGAAGAAGACAGAATGAAGGCTTTCAAACCTAGAATCCCCTACTCTTGCAGAACAGACCCACCTCTCCGGCAGGGCTTAGCAGGTTCATTTTTCTTGTTTCAAATGGAAGCAACTCACATTTCCCAATCATCCCAGGAATCAGAGTAGACACTTGATCCTGGGTACACTGCTGCCTGGCATCATTTCCACCCCTGAAACTGGTAAAAGCTGCTACTACCATTTGGCTTTGGTAGCCTCTTACAACCACTCTGTGCTCATATTGCACTGTGGGAAAACAATTGTGTTATAGACAGGGCAGCAGAGAGTCAAGGCCCCGCATGTGCTAACAAGCCAGTCTGCACACATTACTGACAGGAGTGTCTGGGACCCTTTCAGATTAGTATTAGCCTCCAAGATCAGTTTAATCTCAAATCCTCACTGTACAAAACTTTGACACACAAAGTACACATCTATGGGGCCAAGGTCTAAGACACACCTTAGCATATAGGATCCTAGAACAATATGCCAGCTGCTTCCTCAAAGAGCGTCAATGCATTGTCCAGAAGAGTTTCAGTTTCATTACTGAACACTTAACTGGATCATACTGGCTTGACATGGTTTCCTTGCTGTGCCTGGTTTGGAAAAGCCCCTCCTAATTCCTTGAGCTGCTGCTGTTTACAGTGCACATACTTCTGAGACTAATGACATAGACCGTGTATAAAGGGAAAAAAGGCTATGTCCTATTGACATCGCTTTTCTCGGCTATTAGCTTACATTTTCTCATTCTTATCTCTAACAACTACAAATCTCAGCAATTACGATGAACCGTTTTAATGCTTTGTGATCTTCCACAACACACATCAGATCTTCTAGAGACAGCCACTACACATTGCATCTGCGAATGTATAGCACCTACCAAGATATTGGCAGCAATCACATCAGGATCATCACAGACAGACTCCACAAAAAACACCTGTGGAGAAAGCAATGGCATTTTTAACAGAATAAAGAGGCTCTAGAATAATGCCTATAAATCATACTAATCCCTAGTCTAACCACATACAAAGTCAGCAGAATCACCTGGGGGGGGGGGGGGGGGGGGGGTCTTCTCGATCTTGCCCAGCATATCTTGTGTGAAACCAACCTTTCGCCTTGTTTTAATCAATGGATTCCTGCTATCCTTCTGTCTAGAAGTGTGCATTACACATCACCAGATGTCTGCGCATCTAAGGAATATGGACTGATCAAGGCAGTATACTTCGTTGGACCCCACCACTGCAATCAGCACACTAAAACTTCCCAAGCTACATGCATACATAGAAGCAAGGGGCCCGACTTTCCCCGACCTTGTACTACACATTATCATTTACACCTATGCAAAGGAACTGAAAATACCATCAGAAAAGGGCAGCACTTTGCACAGGTTGATATGACAACACAAGCTATGTCAAGGAGAATCAAGCCCCGAGAATGCTATCTTGCAGAGACAGGGCCAGTTTTATGAGCACAGTAATGGACCAGCAGGTCTGTCAGGTTATGATCTGTCCTAAATGGTGCTCTTACTGCTGCCTCAGATGCAGTGGAAATGTGCTCAAGGAGGAGGAGGTGACATTTCTCCCTGGCTTCGAAAGCAAAGAAAGAAATCAGATGCATGATCCTAGCAAATCATTGCTCCCCTGGCCAACACAGGGGAAGGGGCAGGCAAGCCAGCACCAAAAGGAAAAGGTAAGATGCAACGGATTGATTGATACATGCAGAATTCCTCTACCTTCAGGGATTTGTCCACATCCAAGTTGTAAACTGCATGTTAGGAAACTGCAAGCAGCTCAAGAACAGAACCTTAATGCTTCTATGACCATACAGTGAAATGAGGACAGAAAAGTAAGAGGCAGAAAGTCTGGTTCTGGACATCCCACCAGGAAAAAAAAAGCACAAGATCTCCAGAAACAATAAAAACAAAGCTCCAAAATTATACATGCTGGCCTTCCAAGACCCTGCCTTTGCAGAATGAGATTGTAAAGGAGCCTTTGCACAGAAAAAAACCAAAAAAACAACATTGCCATCAAAGCATAATAAATTGAAATGAAAATTGCTCTGTGCAAAATTAAGAGCAAAAACACACCTTCAAAAGCAGGGAGGCTTATGGCTATGGGAGATACCCAGGCTGTAAATGACATTACTGAAGTCTTATTCCACATTAAATAAATAAAAATCACCTTAAAAGCATTTTCTTTAGCAAAATTTAAAATCAGGTCCCTCCTCTCCCGAGTTGTGTTGGTTGCATCGAAGACCTAACAGGACAGAAGAAACAAACCAAACAACAAGTAACCTCAATATATGTCATTATCCAAGGTTGTATCAAAGCTGCCAGAAGGGGTTGTATGCTTGACCAGCCTAAGTCTCTTAGGCAGCTTTGAAAAACTCAGTCATTAATTTAACACTGATCTCATTTGGACTGTGTTTAATTCTAGCATTGCCTTACTGCAATCTGCCCGCACTCCTCCAGGAGATAAGCTTTCACATCTTCCAGGGCCACCAAGGCACATTTTCTGTAAGGAGAAAAATCGGCATGATCAGAGCTGGTGTAAAGCATCCCGATTCCAAGCCCAGCAAATCATGACCCCAGAGTTTACACGGGGGAGGGATGGGGTTTAGATATCTTGTTTCTCTCTTGTTAAGGGCATTCTCTGCATCTGTCCCACAGCCCTGGAGGTTCAGTGAACACCATTTAGTGAACTCCTTTCCACCTCCACGCCCCAGCTGTGAGGGCACTGCCTTTCCAACCCAGGAGTTTGTTGATCTCCCCTTATATAGACAAATAGATCATTGCTGAGTCCTGGTCCTTGGAGCCAAGTGCACTGGCAGCCAGGGCAGAGAGATTCTGGGAGCAGAAGCTAACTCCAGCCCTCCCCTACATTCATTCATTAATCTCCTTGACGAAGGGTTTTTGAACCCGAAAGCTTGCTTAATAACTTTTCTCCAACTATTTGGGTTGGTCCAATACGAGGTATCAAATTCACCCAAGGAACCTTGTCTGCCTTAATCCCCTTGAAGCATTTGAATTCTGTCCTCTGGGCCCCATTTTACTTCTCCTGAAGTAAAGGACAAAATTCCCACTGATTTCAACAGGAGCAAGCCCAGCCTGTTTGGTGGGTTTATTATTTTAGTGCCATTTGGCATCTTTAGGACCTCTCTGGTCTTGAAATTGTCACTACAGTGAACTTGAAATGAAATCCTGGCTCAAACAGAGTTTGGCCAGGGGAATCAGCAAAGCCAGGATCTCACTCTAAGTGTTCATTTACAGAAAGGATGCCTTTACACTCCAGTCAGAGACACCACAGCTTGTAGCCTTGCTTACTTATCATAAAAATCCATTTGAAGGATGCTTTTGGAGTTTCTAGCAGCCCTAGTCCTTCAGAAAGATAACTGCGAGGCCAACTAGATATCGGCAAGCAGGGGGAATTTAACATTGGAAAATGTCAATCAAATGAAAACCGTTTCTGTAGAGCACTAGGCCCCCTCAAAAATGAGATTTCATCGGATGTTCCCAAACCGGCTTTTAGAGCCTTTAAGCTAATCTGGCATTTACTCAGACAGAACAAACTGGAACTCCATTCCAAGCCTATCTATGCTACTGATGTCTTACACTGAGTGCAAACAAGCTCCACTGAAATAAGGGAGACGAAGCACACAGTCGATTCCTCTCAACCTAAATAGTAGTGGCAGAGTCTCATCCTGTATTTGCCAATTAGATGTTACCTCCCCAAAACAGAGGTATTGGTACATGAACTTTAGAATGAGAGGAACTTGTGTATCCAATTTTCATAGTTAGCCGGACCTGCCCCCGGCGCAGACTTACTTCCGAATCTCCATGGCTTCTTTGTTATCATGCCTGAAAAAATCGTAGGACTTGTACGACTTCACTGCTTCACGACGGTACACTCCTAAATTAAACACTTCACAAAAACAAACGCATTTTATTTAGCAACATATTCCCATGCAGTTCCCATTAATAAGTGTACACACATAGATTCATAGATTGTAGAGTCGGAAGGGACCGCAATGGATCATCATGTCCGACCCCCTGCCCCGGCAGGAAAAAGGACCGAGGTCAGATGACCCCAGCCAGGTGACTATCTAGCCTCTTCTTGAAGACCTCCAAGCTAGGTGATAGCACCACCTCTCTTGGAAGCCCATTCCAGATCCTGGCCACCCTTACTGTGAAAAATTTCTTCCTAATATCTAACTTAAATCCACTCTCAACCAGTTTACACCCATTATTCCTAGCCCCTAATAATTCAGTGCTACACGGGAGAAGAGACCCAAGTAAAGCAAAAGGGGCCTTTTAAGATCTTATGGGGTTTGGCAGAAGAATTCGACTCCTATAAAAGACGTCAAGCCCTAAAACCGCAAGTCCTTACAGGCTAACCCTGACAATTTGCCTAGAGAGACCCTTGTGGAAGTACACATGGAGTTTCCAGAAGGATGACCTCCTGAGGTCCTTCCCAACCCCAACTTTCTATTTAGATGCCATGATCTCAGTGGTGGCAGATGACAGAACAAGGAACAATGGTCTCAAGTTGCAGCAAGGGAGGTTTAGGTTGGGTATTAGGAAAATCTTTCTTACTAGGAGGGTAGTAAAGCATTGGAACAGGTTACCCACAGAGGTGGTGAAATCTCCATCCTTGGAGGTTTTCAAGACCCAGCGAGAGAAAGCCTTGGCTGGGACCATCTAGTTGGGGCTGGTCCTGCTTTGAGCAGGGGGTTGGACTAGATGTGACCTCCTGGGGTTCCTTCCAGCCCTCATTTTCTATTAATTCAGTCACCGCGGACCATTGAATCTTTGGGGGATTTGATGCCACTGCCAAAAGGCTACAGATGGTATGGAAGGGTTTGCGCTACAGATACCTTCCCACAAGTTGAAAAAAAAAGGACCTACCCTAAATGTAACACTCAATTTTCAGTCCTTATGTCTCTGGGCTGGATTAAAACAGATGCACCAGCAGCCTGAAACTCCATCGTGGTATGTTTCTGCATACATACCTTTCGTAGGCACTCCAATCCAGTTGAGGTAGCGGGTTAGTTTCTTGGACATATAAGTCTTGCCCCGTGCAGGGAGACCAATCATAACGATCAGAGTAGGGGAATTGGTCATATAAGAAGCCCATGCTGCAACAAGTCAAAGGACAAAACCGTAAATTAAAACAGCTGAGAAAACAAAACCAAAGTAGAAGCCAAATTCATCCCTGATGCAACTCCACTGCCTCTGCCTATCTAGCAGCCTCACAAAGGGTCACTGTGTTTTATACAATGGACTCGGTATCACTTCTTTCCATCTGATTAAATGTCCCTAGCTATCAGTGTACCACACCATTGCTTTCTCAGGTGTGAGGTAATGGAGCAGGTTAGCAACTTAGCAGATACAGCGAAAGGCATTTTGGCTGACGCAGTATACATTATGGCAGTCAGAGTTAAAAATATTTACCAATTAAGCAGGAACGATCAAGGACACAAGAAAAATGTCTTTATTACAAAAAGACTGCATTCTCTACTGGGACCAGAGAGAAAGTGATTTTTTGTTTTTAGACATAGAGCAATCACTTGAGAAACCAAATTGGGAATACTGAAAAGCAGGATATTGTAACATTCAGGCTTTTCTGAAGAGCAGGATATTGTAACAATAATGCGGTTTTGCTCAGGACTCTAGTACATTACAAAAAATAAATCAGGTGACTTCCTGAATGTCAGAAAATCCACTTATTAAAACAAAAACAAGTTACATAAAATTATATGAAGGACACCAGTTGAATATGATAGCTCATGCACCTTGCCGATTGAATGGGTCAAAGCAGCTGAATTTACACACTGCACAGAACAATTCTGCATGTCAGAGAAGGGACAAGATAGGAGTTTGTAAAAAGTCTTTCCCATCTTCAATCAGCCTGACAAAATGTTTTGGCACAAAATAAAACACGAATCCTACCAATGCATTAAAGGGGCTGTCCCCTGAAATAACTTATCAGTGTCAAAACCTGTGAGGGGCACAGATCTGCAAGTTAACCCTGCCCCCAAATTCCCTTGGGAATTTTTGCAGGTGCTCTCATCTGTTGTTCTGCAGGGAAAAAAAACATATCTGACCCTGGGGAAACCAACTACATAAACTCCTTTCAAACAAGTTTCTCCTCCCCAACCTCTTTTGGTCGGTCATTTTAAGTATCACACGCTGTGACAGCAGGCAAAACTTATTCCGTTACAAGCATCATGCGTAAATGGTGGTTGTTGCTTTAAACATTCCAATTGATATGAAAAAGGCAGCAAATAGCAAGTTCAATTCCCAGTGACCTAGATTGAGAAGTTGGGGGGGGGGGAAACAGTAAAGAGCCTAGGATTTAAGGACTTAGAAAAAACAGATGCATGAACAAGAAAAAATAAGTAAAAGGAACATGACCTGCACAAGAACATAAGACGTTAGGAGGAAAAAATAATCCACTGTGCAGACAGACATTTGGTGAGATCAAGGCACTTGGAAAGCCAAGTCAAAACAGAGCTGGGGTAATTATGCATCGTAAAAATCATGGTAACATCTGCGTGTGTATTTATATGGAAATATACTATGTGTACACATGTAAATACACAATATCATTACTTTTCATGTAGCTCTTCTCTAATTGAATTAAGAAATACCTTTGCGATTCTTTGTTGACATCTGTCCCAGGCTTAGGAGAGCAGTAACAAAGTCTGGGAAGGCCCAGGTTAAAAGAGTTCAATGGAAAATTCAGAGGCCAGCTATGGCATGAACTCAGTGCATCCCAGGAACAACATACCCAGGTCACTGCGTGATGAAGCCCATGACATGCACATGGAACATTTCACGGGAGGCTATTTTAAGCCCCTGTGTTTTGTCCTGCTCTGCTACCTGCTACACAGTTTGCACGAGTGACTCTCCGGAGCATAACGTTCATTAAAACACAAACTGCATGAAAATGGATTTCCCTTTCCAGCAGCTGAACCCCTAAGCCAGTGGTTCTCAACCTCGTTAAGCTCAAGGCCCCCTTCATTAAACTCAAGCCCCCTTGCAGAAAATGCCAGCTGTGCATTTTCATTCATTTTTTTGACTACAGGAAAATAACAGAGCACTTCTATAGCAGAGAACTCAGACCACCCACAGCAGGGCAGAATATCTGTAACACTACAGATTCCTATTTTAATGGGGTTGGGATTGTATTGTGCGTTAGGTTTGCACACCCAGTGGTGCCTGGCAGCTTGTCCTTAACTTGGGTCAGCTAAAAACAGCAGCAGAAACAAGGTGAAGCTCATTAGTAAGTCCATTAGGATGAGCCAGGTAGGGAAAAAGTCTTGTAAGCCTTTCACTCTGCACAGAAACAGGGAGGTGTTCAGCACCCAGGGCTTCCCTGCACCCCTGTGGGGTCCATCCAACATGCCGGGGTTGGATCCTGCTCCCATTGAAGTCAAGGGGAAAACCTCATTGATTTTTAAAGGTGAAGGGGGCCTAAAATGAACTAGGGGGTCACAAAACAAACCAAGGTGGCAGTTTAAAATGAACATGGGCAGGTCTTTTTTCCATTCAATGGTGGGATTTGTCATGTGTGGGGGAAGCCAAAAGCTCAGCCAGAGTCACAAGGGACTGGACACAGACTCTGAAGACAGGGGCATCGGTCACTATTGAGAGCGGGAGGGAGGGATCCAGCCTCTGCGGTTCCCAACCTCTGACCCATTGCACCCCCCCAATTTAAAGCAATGCAACCTTCAGTACCACCAGCACATTTTTCAGTTCAACCTTAAGTACCACTGGCACATTTTGGTCCTATAAAGGCATTCTCATACATCTGTTAGGGCATACCACCCAGAGGCTGTGTGCAGACCCCTGGTGGTACCCGCACCACAGACTGAGAGCCCTAAAAAGCTGGAGGCTGCAAGGGAGAGAGGACCAGGCGGAACAGCCCTCCTCCCTGCCCAATGCAGCATCCGCTGCGTGACACCCGCCCTGTGTGGAGCCGTTCCAGACCGCAGGCCAAAGTGCACCAAGCAGACCTCCACGTCCCTACTGAGGAGGGGACAAAGAAAAGGCAAAAAGACTAAATAGAGAAGGCTCAAAAAGGAAAAGAGGTAGCAGGGAGAGGAGTGAAGGTCACAGCCCGCTGCCCTCCAAGGCTGCAGGCACGGTGCCTGGAGATGGGGGAGGACCAGGACCAGGACCAGGGCCAGTCCCTGCAGGGGCTGCACCTGCGCCCTCCAGGTGGGACAGAGGCGCCCGGTCCGCGCCTCCCGCGCCCCCCTCCAGCCCGGCCGCACTCACAGCACTTCTTCTCCGAGGCGCGCAGGCTGGCGGAGCGGCTCTCCGGCGTCGGGGGCGGCTCGGCGGACATC